TGCTTTCCCTAGTCCCCAGATGAAAGGGCCACGCAAATATTACCTGTACGGTGCTTTCCCTAGTCCCCAGATGAAAGGGCCACGCAAATATCACCTGTACGGTGCCTTACCTGCTCCCCAGATGAAAGGGCCACGCAAATATGACCTGTACGGTGCCTTCCCTAGTCCCCAGATGAAAGGGCCACGCAAATATCACCTGTACGGTGGCTTACCTGGTTCCCAGATGAAAGGGACACGCAAATATCACCTGTACGGTGCCTTACCTGCTCCCCAGATGAAAGGGCCACGCAAATATTACCTGTACGGTGCCTTACCTGCTCCCCAGATGAAAGGGCCACGCAAATATCACCTGTACGGTTCCTTACCTGGTCTCCAGATGAAAGGGCCACGCAACTATCACCTGTACGGTGCTTACCTGGTCCCTACATTATGAAAGGCCCATGGAAAGTATTTCCCGTATACGCGTACGCGTACGGCGTTTTACTGGTAACGTAATCTAGACCCAAGTCCCTCACGCACTCATTACCTGTAAGGTTTCCAGAGCTAAGAGCCGCACAAATGACTGTTTGTGGCTTATCCACCCAAGTGGAGTGATTATAGTCGTAAAGGTTGACGTTTTTTTGCCCCTAAAAGTTGTGGATAAACGCCGGCAGCCCTCCCCACCGCTAGCTATCCCTCACTGCAGCAGCTGATACCCCGACCAATAGCAGCGTGGAGCTTGCTGAGGAATTGACCAATAGCGGCGTGGCCATCTTTCGTGGCCGTCCTACCATATTCTAGACCAAGCCATACCTCCCACCAGCTGCTCGCTGCCTCCTCACGCCTACAGATTTCTTCCCTCTTGGTTCAGATTTGTCGTTTGTTTTCCAAGAATGTGGCGTCCAAGGGACGCCGGTAAAAGCGTATTTTACCTTAACTCATAGCTTTTAAATACTTCTGCCAATTCTTTTATTTTTACCGAGGGAAAGGGGCGGTCGAGGTGACCATGAGACGAAACACGAAGATCCTGTTGACGATCGCGGTGCTGTGGATATCCGGGGTCGGATACTATATGTATCGCTACTCCAACAGGAGCAATGTGAGTACGGCATAGTCTTACAGATTTGTGCCATTCCAAGGCTAGTTTCAGTGATGTCTGATTGTGATGCAGGGACCGTACATAAGCGTAACCCCATCGAATGAAGTTTGGGTACGGAATAAGGCAGCGGTGACGAGGCCAGGCGCCGCTATGACCCGCCCATATTCAACTCTGCCACTGCTCTCCTCACACCCATGTCTGAAAGACCTGGTTAATCTTTCTGTCTGATTTATTCACTGTCATAATCCAGGGCCAATGACCTAAGATTTGTCTAGTGGATCCAGCGGCAAAGCCTTGTGAAGTGCTGAATTTCCACGAACGCTGTAAATCAACAGTGTGGCAGTTAACGTTAAATTTTTTCCCTTCTTAGCCAAGGAAGTTATGATGAGCAGATGTCTTGGTGATACACTTACAGTGTACAATTGTACTGTAACAAGATACAAGCAAGGGCTATATATAATGTCCTTGATACAAGCTTGAAATAGTCCAATTTTTATAGCAATAAAAAGTCATTAAACATTAGAGTTTTTCGAGTATAATACTATAAACATAACGTCAGTTAGTTTGTTAGTTAGTGTTAACATTACATATGTTATCATAAGTAAAGAAGTCCTCAACATGAGGTTTTGAAAGTTGTTGCACCAAAACCATTGATATTTCATAACGCAAATCCTCAGAAAGACTGTTGCTAGCTCTGCCTGTTGGTTGCGAGTCAAATTGATTAGAAGATACAAATTACAATGTAATGAATTCTTTTCAAAATGACACAGCTCAGATCACAATCCATCTAATGCCCAATTGCTGATATTAGAGGTAATACTGTCCTAATCTTATGCAAATAAGGAGCAAGCACAGTGACTCAAAACAGGATGTGATTGTTAGCAGGATCCTAGTAGAGGACTGAATACAAGTACATTTACCTGATTTTTTAGTGTTTGGTTAAAGTCAGTAAATTGAGTAGTCGTATTGAAATCTTCATCCTTGAATCTGTAATCTCATTTTGGCCCTTCATATGTATCACACTGCCATCTTAAAAGTACTCTCAGTACCATGGGCTGGGCTGCAATATTTGTGCTCGCATTTCTTTTCACATTTTTTTTTCTGTAACGGCAAGAAAGACATGTCAGTGTTCTCTGCACAGGTTTCTTGTCTTCATCTAATTCAGTAGTTTTATTCTGATCATAAAGTGAAAATAGTGTATTTGTGACAACATTATGGACACCTGTTGTGGCAAATCCCCTGCTGTTCCCCTCCATTGTCAAATATGTACTGTGCTGATAATCTGGTGCCCCCTTTCATCATCCATGTGATAAATGTGTAGATGAGTGACATATTTTTGAACTGACCTTGAAAAGAAAAAAAACTTTGGAAAAATAAAAAGGATGTTACAGTTCTCAAGCTACAAGTACATGTACTACTGTCTGAGGTACATGCACAGTTAGTTACTAGTATACTTTAAAACCATTAAACTGATAGGCATTGGCTACAATAGCTTGTCAATAAAGTCTGACATTAATCCATCTATGCAGCAGCACAGATGAGAGAGAAGAACTAGGCAGCATTTGGATGAAAGCCAATGAATGTGTTTATGATGTGTTGAACCAGAACTTCCTGTACTTCCTTTGAAATACTACTGTAGTATCCAAAATAAACTTCCCTTCTGATGTACGTGGCAGACCAGCAGCTGCCATACCAAAAGGTTCATAGGAAACACTGTCATACCCCTTTGTATGTACACCCAGTACCTGTTATAATGGAAGTAGAATTGAACTCCCTCTAACTCCATTCTGTTATGTAGATAAAAGTTCAGTTAATTCAAAACGTTGCATAAGGTCAGGGGTGCTACCTAATGGCTTCAGCTATAATGTGCTTTATGGTACGATTGTTTTGTCAGTTAATACAATGTTGCCTTTTCAGGTCTATTTGAAAGCCCAGCCTTACTTGTATGATGCTGTCAAAAGCACCAGTACTTTTTTCTAACAAGATTGAACCCTTTGCAACTTTTAAACATGATAATGAATTTTTGGATTCATATTTTCAAATAACATTCAGAATGGTTGCAAAATATGTTTTCTGAAGAAAAGCCTTTTTGATAGAACCATTTAGCACTTACTGTAAGATTTGTTAAAATGGTTTTTGAGTAACATGTTATACATGTTTTTCAAATATGACTTTGAGTAGAAACAAAGTTACAAAGTTAATGGTTTTGCCCTACCATTTGCAATTGCAATTTGCAATCCATCCAGCCCTGTGGTATTTGACCTACAGTCTGTATTTTGACCCGAAATGACTGGAGCTGAATTTTCCTGTCCTAATATACATGCATTATGCATTTCCGCTGATCTCTCTCATGACTTACAAATGCACTTGTTTAACCTTGTAACTGCATGTCCAGCTTCTATGTAGATATCAAAAGTCCCGTTTATGAGTACATATTTTTGTATGGATGTAGCAGTATATTTTTATGAGGAGGAGGGATATATAAGTGAAGGTTAACCGTAAGCTACCATAATTGTCTTTCAACAAGGTAGGACACAATACCGTTACATTTGGAGTTCCAGTGCATGGCTTGCAGTGCCACGTTGTGACATTGTGAGAGCGTTTAGCCTAATCTGGTTATAGCCTGAGGGTTGCTAGCAGATAGATTAGTTAGTGATACTGCATTATTGCTATAACGTTATACGTGTATCTGTTGTGTATCTGTTGCATATCTGCTCATCAACAGGATGCCAAAAAAACA